GAGAGTGTACACACCCTATAGCAGAAATCTCTCAAAACAAATATAAATAAAAAGGAATAAATAAATAAAATTAAAATAATTAACTCCTAAAAATATATATTTCTAAAATAATAATAATAATAATTTAATTTTAGGGGCCAGCAGATGGCATAATGGTTATATCGTCAGACTCTCACATAGTTGACCATAGTTCAAGTCCTGGATCCAGCAGCTTAAAACTCACTCTGGGTGTGTGTATGTGCATGCCCAAGATCCTGAAAGGAGAACAGAGGAGAAGGGATTGTGGCATGGCCATTCCCCAGGGGAGGTAATTTCTTGCTTTCTGTCGCTCTGGCAAGTGCACATGCCTTATGGCAAAAAAAAATCTCTCTTAAAAAAAAAGTAATTATTGGGGCTGGCAGGTAATGTGGTGGTTAGAGACGCCAGATTCCCACATGGCCAACCACGGTTTGAGACCCAGACCTGGCGGCTTGCTTTCTCACTTTCCCTTTCTATCTGGTCAAATTTTAAAAATACAATAAAAATAGGGACCAGCAGTTAGCGTAATGGCTATGTCACTGGACTCCTATGTAGTCGACCGCGGCTCACATCCCGGACGCAGTGGCTTAAAACTCACGCCGGGCGCGTGTGCGTGCATGCCCAAGATCCCGAGAGGAGAATGAGAATGGAGGAGAAGGGATTGCAGCGTGGCCATCCCCCCTGGAGGGTAATTTCTTGCTTTCTGTCTCTCTGTCTCTCTCTGTCCGTCTGGTGAGCGCATGTGCCCTATCACAAAAACCTCTCCAAAAAGAAAAGAAAAATACAATAAAAATAAATGGAATTAAATAAAGAAAATAATTAATTATTTAATTTTATTTATCATTACTATTTTTTTTTTATTTGCTATCAGGCCTGTGCACTCACCAGAGAGAGAGAAGGTGAGACAGCAAACCACCAGGCCCGGGACTTGAATCACAGCTGACCATGCAGGAGTCCAATGCCCTAACCACCAAGCCACCTGCTGCCACCGATAAATAAGCTTTTCTAAAAAGTGAACAGGGTTGGGAACAGCAGTTAGCATAATGGCTATGTCGCTGGACTCCCATGTAGTCGACTGCGGTTCGCATTCCAGACCTGGAGGCTTCAAACTCACGCCGGGCGCGTGTGCGTGCATGCCCAAGATCCCGAGAGGAGAATGGAGGAGAAGGGATTGCGGTGTGGCCATCTCCCCTGGGGGGTGATTTCTCACTTTCTGTCTCTCTGTCTCTGTCTGTCTGGCGAGTGCACACGCCCTATAGCAAAAAAAAATCTCAAAAAAAAAAAAGTGAACAGGGCTGACCTTGTAGCCCAGTGGCCCAGTGGTTAAAGGGAGCCGGATCCCACGAGGCGAACTGTGGTTCAAATCTGTGCCCCAGTAGCTTGAAATACACCCGACATGTGTGCCCATGTCCAAAATCCTATTAGGATGGAGGAACAGAGGAAAAAGGACCGTGGTCTGACCACACCCCACTGGGAAGAGGGTCTCTTTCGGGTGAGTGCAATAAACATAAATAAATACATAAAGAGTGTTTAGCAGAGGACCTTCAAGCCACACAATAAAAGTGTAAGAAAGAAGTTGGGTATTTCCACCTTGTCTAGTACATCGCTGCTCCCAGCTCTTTACCAAAATGCCCCATCCCAACCCCTGCCAAATGGCTCCACACTCCTCAGTGCCCTCTCTGCTCCAGTCCAGCTCCCCTGCAAGCCCAGACTGACTCATTCGGCAAATATTTGAGCACCTGCTTGATCCCGAGCCCTGTGCTGGGTTCTGAGGACCAAAGACAGGAAGCACATCTGCCGTCATTGCTTATTAGGGAAGATAGATGCTGAACGAGCAGAGCACATGATGCATATCATCCTGTGACACAGGGGAAAGAGGGTGAGGCTCTTCTGCAGAAACAAACTTAGGGCTGAGACCCAAAGCTAACTAGGAGTTAGGGAAGGAGCATTGCAGACAGAGGAAGTGAGTATGCAAAAGACAGAAAAGGAACAGGCATGCCCTTCATGGAAACTGGGAGGAGCTCAGAGAGGCTGGAGGCCTACCCCAGATCAGATCAGGCACTTCTAGAAAAGCCCAGGAAACCTGAGAGAAGCTAAATGCTCGGCGGGATGTGCACCAATTCACATTCTTAGCTCTAGGGACTGGCCAGTGACATCGCAATAAAACATGATGCTCTCCAAGGCTTGTCTACATGAGAAGGTTCCGGGTTCGAGTCTAAGGAGTACACCTGGTATGCATACACTTGCCCATGATCTGGAGCTAGCAGCAGCTGGAGGGGCATGCTGGGATGCTACCTCTCTCTGTGTCTCATGGAAGAAGTAAACTCCAAAAAAAAATTAAAAGTGGGGCCAGCAGGTGGCATGGTAATTAAGGATGCTAGACTCCCACATGACTGATTGCAGTTTGAGTCCCAGACCTGGCAGCTTGCTTTCTCACTTTCAGAAGTATCACAGCTCACAGTGTCACAGCTCTTTGTTGTAAAGGTTTCGCTCATTTATTGAGGGCTAGAGCGCTTTCTTATATACACAAGGTAGAGGGAGGTAGGCGGGGTTTACAGCGGACCTTACTGAGGACCTGCCAGCTCTGTGTGAACCAGGGGGTCTGCATTCCTGGTGTCTGTGTCAAGGTCGCACCGGCCATTTTTAAGCAGTGAAGGTCATGACAGCCATTTTGATGTGGGCAGCTCCCCACAGATAAATAAAATAATTATTTTTAAAAAATTTTTAAGTGGGCCAGCAGGTGGTATGGTGGTTAAAGCACTGAATCTCACATGACTGACTGTGTAGCTTGAGTCCTGGACCACAGAGGCTGAAAAAAAAAAACATGCTGGAGGGGGACCAGAAGATGGTTACATTGCTGGACTCCCACATAGTCGAGTCTCAGACCCAGCAGCTTAAAATTCACGCTGGGTGCATGTGCATGCATGCCCAAGATCCCAAGAGGAAAACAAGGGAGAAAGGACTCCGGCATGGCCATTCTCCCTGGGGGCTGATTTCTAGCTTTCTGTCACTCTGTCCCTCTCTATCTCTCCAGCAAGTACATATGCCCTATAGCAAAAATCTCTAAAGAAAAGAAACACACCAGAGCGTGTCTCTGTGCGCCCAAAATTCCGAGAAGAGAATGGAGGAGAGAGGACTGCAGCATAGCCATCTCTCCTGGAGGGTGATTTCTCATTTTCACTCTTTGTGGCCCTGTCTCTGTCCACAGAGCACACACACCCTATGGCAAAAATCTAAGATAATACCAATAATTTAAAAAATCACTGGGACCAGCAGTTAGCGTAATGGCTATGTCGCTGGACTCCCACGTAGTCGACCGTGGTTCAAGTCCCAGACCCGGTGGCTTAAACTCACGCCAGCCACGTGTGCGTGCGTGCCCAAGATCCCGAGAGGAGAATGGAGGAGAAGGGATTGCGGTGTGGCCATCCCCCCTGGGGGGTGATTTCTCACTTTCTGTCTCTCTGTCTCTGTCTGTCTGGCGAGCGCACGCGCCCTGTAACAAAAACTTCTCCAAAGAGAAGAAAAAAAAAATCAC